CAACTACTAACTTCAAACCACCTACGGTTACTTTGCACGCTGCGCTGCGCACATGATTACCGCGCTGGGCGGCTTCACTCGGAAGTCGTTCACCCGCCCCTCGCTCCTCGGACATTGCGAACCGATCACTCTAAACGACGCGACGACGCCGACGCGCCTCCAAACGCGCAGCGACGACAACGAAACATCGCTCGGCGAGCAAGTGCGCCACATTTCAGACAAACCAGATGCTTCCCTGCAAACCCGACCGCGTCCGTCGGCCCACCTCCGCGGAGCCGGCGCGCTGCCCCGCAAACGCGCGGCGGTCGCGCGCGCGCGCTCTCCCGGGCGCCCGCGCGCGCGAGGGCTTCGCCCTGCCTGCGGCGCCCGCGCCTCGCTCCGCCGCGGGTGGCAGCGCCCTTCTTCTTCAGCACCTCCTGGCACGTCTTCCCCAGGGAACGGGCGGTGTTCCGCGCCGCTGTCTTTGCCCCAGCGGACCCCAGGAGGCGCCGCACCCTCTCCTTCAGCGCCGCCCTCATCACAGGCGGGCGCCCTGCCACTAAGTCGGCCAAGTCATGCTTGCGCAACCGCCGGCGGAGGTGGGACCAGTACTTCTCCACTGGGTTCAGGTCGGGCGATCGGCTGGGAATGCGCCACAGAGACACCCTCGCCTTGCGCGTGGCTGCCTTGCTCTCCGCCGTCATCAGGAAGCTCTCGTCGTCGCGCAGGACCCGCCAGGGCCCCTCGCCGCCCCCCGCCCGCGCGGCACGGCATGCGCCCGCTAGCTTCCCCGCGCTTACCGCCCTGACCCACTCGCCCGCGTTCGCCTTCCTGAACTTGCGGCACGCGACGAGCCCGGAGCCGCCGAGACCGACCCCCCCCCCAGAGCGGCGCCTGGCGGGAGTACGGGATCTGCTGCGCGTAGTCGTTGCGCCCGGAAAGCTCAGGCTTGGCCGCCCCGGTAGCCATCCGCCGCATGTGGGGCTCGCCCGCGCGGCAGTAGTTCGCGCGATCTACCGCGTCGTTGGGTGGCAGAGAAAGCGCCACGCCGTCCATCGCCATCGCAAAGTAACGGTCGAGATGGGCTGGCGTCTTGCTCGAGACGAAGCGGGCGAACTCCCTGCGGTCCGCCTAGTCTCCCCTAGAGTACTTCGGCTCCTGCGAACGCGGCAGCCACTTGTGCCCCTTCTTGACCAGCACATTGCGGATCGTGGAGCACGCGAGCTTCGCACCCTTCTCCCGCAAGAGCACCCTCTGCAGCGTCGTCGCCGCGCAGACGGTCTTGAGCCGAGCGGCGACCGAGTTCCGAACGAGGAAAGTTCCCACCTCCTTCGTCACCTTCCACTTCTTCCTGTCGCAGCGATTGTACTTATAGGGGCGACGCCCGAGGCGCGTGCTGAACTGCTCGACAACTCTCTTGCGCTGCGAGGCGGAGGGGCTGCCCCCGTCCCTCGCTACCGCTGCGTCCTTAATCTGGTCCCACGTAAGCTTGTTCACAGTCCTGAGCATCACCGCCTTCCGCTGGTTGCGGAAGTCCATGGACCGGGGGCGGGCGCTTTCGGCCCCGGTCGGCATGTCAGGGGGGCGGGCGCGCGCGGGCGGTGCAAGGACAGAGCCGCGAGCGGCAGCCTTGGACCAGGTGAGGCTACGGACAACAACCTGGACCCCAGGAGCGCCACCGGGGGGCGCGACGGCCGCGCGCGCATCGGGGGGGGGGGGGGGCGCCACGAACGCACTAACGAAGGGGCGGCAGCGCGGACAGCGCCTCGTGGACATTTCAATTTTCCTACGGGGAAACCATGCTGATCAGGCTACGCCTGCCGCGCGCTCGGATATCTTCGCACTGCGCTCGCTGCGACATGCCGCGGCAACAATGGCAGCGGCAACGGGGGGGCAATCTTTCCTGGCAAGTACGGCACTCGCAAACAGTTTGCGGCCGGGCCTATGCCTCCGCGGCGGCCGCAATCCTGCGGCGCTTCGCGGTCCGTGCAAAAGCGAATGCTAATTATGCATTTTCCTGGTCGGCACCCTATCTTTGTCGTAGAATGCCTCGCCTGCGGGGGGCCTCGCGAAGACGCAGTTCTTGCGCAACCACTTGGGCCTCTTCTCGTGCGAACAGTCGGCCAAATGCGCGTCTGGCGCATCCAAGTCCACTGTCACCGCGATCGCAACCCCGAAGAGGTACTGCGTGTAGGCGTAAATATTCGCGGCGCTCTGGCCCCCGCGAGTCTTGGCGCTCCGCGCCTGCAGGGGCGCTCTGCAAGGAAGGACTTGCTGCCAACTGTTCACGTTGTCTAGGACTATCCCGTCGCGCAGATCCCGGCCAAAGCCGCGCAGGTCCAGGTGCTCCGCGTCCTCGACCGCGAGCGCGTAGGGGTTGGCAAAGAGGCTTTCCGCGAAGCTGGACTTGCCCGAAGCGCCACTGGCGTCAAGCGCCAACTGCTTCCACCTGAAGCCCAGGAGCAGGAAGGCGCCCTCCCACGCGGTAGCCTCAGGGAATGCCCGAAAGAGTGCCTTCAGC